GTATCCGTTTCAATAAACACAACTGCAAAAAAAGCATAAATATTGCACGTTCGATATAAACGAGCTCGTGAACAATAGGAACACACCCTTCCAAGCATTCTCAGTAGAGAACAGGTTGCGGCGGCTTCACGTCGCACGAGGGCTTCGAATGACGGCAGACGGCCTTTCCTCCTACTCGCGAATGTTTCACGCTTTCGGACATACAGGAGAGACGAGTGTAGCAACTTATTTGGTTCGTTCTCATACTGCCATCTGTAGACCACGCATGTTAAATGGATCAGAACCATAGTGGGAATACAATGCTTGACGAAAAAAAAAACACTTGTTGAAAGAACCTCTTGACGAAAGGACCACCTTGTTGAAAATGGTCGCTCAACCAATAACGTGGTTCACTACAGCGGCCGCAAAACTGTGATCTTTATCATTACTTTAAAACAGGAGTTCTCAAACTTTCTGGCCTTGAGGAATCGCAACCGCCACCAAGTGACGCGTCAAACGCTCGACGAATCAACTTGCTGCGCTAGCAGAAGTAAACCAAAAATAGCACCTTCTCCCACAAAAGGGAACCATGTGGTATGCGAAGCAACGCTGGTGTTCGATAGTGTTTGCATTTGCTCTTTCGATTTGTATGTTTCCGTGTATGCTTAATTTTATTGCGGAGTTGTGTATATGTTGTCTACTGCTTATGTCAACCCCCTCTCATTTGTGTGTATTGCTATGTTTGTGCACAGCACCGTGAACGCCGGGTGCTGCTATAGGAGAGAGCAACGCGCAGCATTATAAACGAGCGCACAGCTGTGGCGGAGGGACAAACGGGTGAAGAGAAATTAAGCGGAGGCAGCGCTCTGACACATCCTCCCACCTCCTCGTTCTCTCTTGAGGAGAACGGCTGAGTTGGCGCATGCGGAGTGAGGTAACGGACGGTCGCCGAGGGACGGACACAGCCCAGATCAAAAGCTGCTTCACACACTCTTGCAAGGAATTTTTCAGATTTTTTCTCGATTCTGTGGCTGCCGACGATGAAGAAATATGCCTATAGCTTTTGTAACGGGTTGTCGCGTTCAACGACCCACTTTCAATGCAATTTATATTGTGTGACGCCTGGTTATGCCTTTGGTGCTCTAAAGCGCTGTATTACTGAGAAACGGGATCTTTTCGGGCATAAAGCGTGCCTGAGGCCAATTAGTCGCGTAGTTTCAAGCTCCGGCATGACGCAGTGGTGAAATACTGGGCTGGCACGCAAAGAACTCGAGTTCAAATCCACAGAGGAGTAGAACGACATTTTATTAGTAATTTCGGGCATAAAAGGTGGCGCCAAAGTCTCCCAGTAGTTTTTCCTACCATAAATATGCCCCTATTACATCTATAATTATTATAGATGAATCTGTTAAAGAACCTAATACTATATAACCGATTGGGCGCCCTCTAACGTGTGCATGTTAGCAATTCGTTTTTGGTTACAGACATTCCCAGCGTTCCATACATTATTTAGTAATACTTTAGGTAAGGCCAGATTCAAACAACTTGATGGTTTTCCTACAGAAATCTACTAACGTATACCACATAAATACTTTTTTGGTACACGAACATAATGTTTCACGCGCGGTTTGCTGTAAAAAGAATAATGGTAATGGCAGACAAGCAGCCAAGCAGCACACACAAACACAAAAATATTTGGCAGATCTCATGTACCTGAGAATCGACGTTGTGCGAAGCATGCGGAAGGAAGGTGACCATGTTGGAATTTTTTTATCGAGCGACACATTATAAAATGACGCTAAATATATGTACAAATATTGCACATACAGATGTATGTGGAAAAGATGAAGATGTTTATATAACCAGTTGTTTGCTCTTGCGAAACAATGCCAACTGGAACATGCGTGTTAGTAACACCAGAAGCTGATATGAAGCGCTGATGCTTGCGAGGATGCTGGCCTTGGACACTGCTGCATAAATCAACTTCAGCGCACGGCAACTAACAACAAATAACGTTAACCCAACGTGACGGCTGTATCAAAAGTGTACATATGTAATGTTTAAAAACTGGATAGGCAGCCCTACAACCACGATGGATGTTTCACGAAGATTAGCGTCTATTCGAAAAGTAGTTCCGAGACCTGGCGTAGCTCCACGCTAAATTATTCATTGCCACGCAGAATGCTTGAGTTCGATTACAGCTGAACTCTGACATTTAGTTTTTGCATTCATCGGGTCGACGCTACCGATACTGGGTATTTCTTAACGCTTGCGCGGTAATATTGCCCATGTGTGTTCTCGTTGTTTGAGGGTAGGTACTAAGTGTCAATCACCTGTGGCACATATCCACATATCAGTGGCACATACCCACATATCAGTGGCACAAACCCTCTCGTGGGTATGTGCCACTGTCTGGCGGAAACTGTTTTACGACGTACGCGGCGAGATTGTGACGTTTGTCGTGTCTTGAGCAGTGCGTCATATTCCACAAACCATGTGATCCTCCATCCTAATTTTGGTTCACGCCAAGTGAAGCGGGTGACCACGAGAGCATCCAAATTTAAGCGGCTAGATAGATAGATAGACAGATAGAGTGATAGATAGATAGATAGATAGATAGATAGATAGATAGATAGATAGATAGATAGATAGATAGATAGATAGATAGATACGCTAAAAGTCACCGAAGTTCGCTAAGAAATGCTTCTCATTTCAAAAAAAGCTTTTCTTTTTTTTCTCACTACCTTGTTTGGCTCGGTTTCTCGCAACCCTATAAACTAAAGCCCATTAGTACCGCTGACACACGCACACTACGGCTAATAGCAGTTACAGAGAGCTACACGTTTAACATAACCACTATTGCCTTCTAGTCGTGGTTATCGCAAAGCAGGGGCTTAAACAGGTCTTGTTCATGGGGAGCGGGGGGGGGGGGGGGGGCTCTTTGAGCTGAAGTATGGGCCTGGCAAACATGCATTCCACTGCGAAATAAAATATCAGAGAGGGGGGGGGGAGGCATGCGCCCGATGTGTCATCCCCTCACTACGCCACTGTCGCAAACGGGTAATTCCACGAGAAATCGACACAAATCCGTGAAATTACATATTAAATTTGATTTATTACTTCATATTTCATGCACATAGCATCCATTAGCCCAAAAAGAAAGTCACTTTTCTTTTTACCTGCATAATTTACAAGGAAAAAGTATGCAACGTATTCAATAAAATAAAGGACTTATTTCATCACCAGTCATTGTCGAAAGTTCCTTACGACATAATGCGCATATAATACCGCTACAAAGAAGACATTCTGTGTATGAATATATGCAGAACAAAGAGTAAAGAAACACTTTTGAAGCTCGTAGAGCGAACCAAACTATTCTTTACAAAAAGTCTCAATATGGGGGATTTAAATAAGCTTGCAATAAAATAGTTAGCACGAGGTTGATAAGACTTGTCAACTTTGTTAATAAAACAAGTTTCATTTCTTTCTTTCCGCAATGGCAGCTACTTTTTGGTTACTGAACTCCCGAGCCAGTGAGGTTGGTCTTGAACACGCTCACATAAACACTCGAAAGTTTTTTCGGTAATTGTACAGGCCAATGTGAACGAGAAATGTTCATGCGCAAATATTTTTTTCCGTGGCTAAGCCATGGCCATTCTTCAGCGCGTCAGAATCGCCCTTTTCTGTGTAGGTCGTCCGCGCAAACGCACTCGCGTTGAAGAGACAAGTGCCATAAGTTTTCGTGGTCCAAACGACACGAAAGGAGTGGAACAAGAGACAACTGGTGTCACAAACGTGCAAATGACCCCCCCCCCCCTTCCATCCAAACAAGCAAACAAGCAAACAAACAAACAAACAAACAAACAAAAAGTGCCAATGCAGGTGCCTCCGCGAACGCCTACTGGGGCGTGGCGGGGCAATTCGGACGCCAAGGAGCGCCACATTCGATTTCGACGATCTCCACTGGAGGGGCTGTTCGGACCCAGAAGAAGTCGATTACTGCGAATTTCTCGAGAGTTCAGTGATGCTTTCCTTGTGGCTATAGCGTGACTGATTGAATCGGATATTGTGTACAACGTCGCATTGAGAAAAATGGCTTCACCATGTGCCATAGAGTTGCAATACTGCATCACATGTAACGAGCAGCTTTAAGCCACGATAACATCGCTAAGGTGTGGTACATATGTACTAGTAATACTTGTTAAAGAAGCAGCATGTTGAATGTGGTCCTTTTTTGGGTGATAATTTTATGTTAGACATGAATTTGAGGTACAAAAAAATTCTTATTGTTCCTGAAATACTTCCTGCATCAAAGACACATTGATCAAAGTTCATGATTATGTAGTAAAGGCAGAGGTAACGCCCATTACTTCTTTCGGTAACGGTAACGCGTTACCTTTTTTGTAGGTAACGTAGGGTGGTAACGCGTTTTTTTTTGTTGGAGTAACAAGTACCATATTCAGTTGCTTTTCTTTCGGTAACGGATGCAACAGTGATTAGGATTGATTTGGCCACCCACCTGACGTACATGAAAGGTTGGTATGCATTCCCTGCGTCATTGTCGAACATCAGAACACGTTAATACGAAAGTTAAGCCTTGTCAAGTTCGTTTATGTGTCGTGTTAGGGTTTAGTTTGTGTACTTTGTTTCTGTAACAAATTCACTGCGCTACAAATCAAGGACAGACTAAAAAGAGCAGACACCACGAGTGCTGGGTGTCTTTTTTGCGTGTTCTTGTCTTCGGCAGTGTGAAGTTATTACGTAATGTCGCACAGATTCGTAAAAGCTTCCATGCACTTAAACATTTTTCCTATCTGCACTGGGAATGTACCGGCGGATTCGGCGCGCCGACGTGGTGAAGAGTGCCATGATGTCATGGTTCGCCACTTTTTCGAGTGACTGAATTCGCCCCGCCGAAGTGGATATGTCCGCTAGGTGGACACATCAAGAACAGTTCCCCACTAAACCTGCATACGTACACTCAGTGTTACTTCATGCCCTCAGTACATCTATACGTGCCGTGTCCATAATACGGTAGAGGCGCATCCGGCGTCGGCCACGACACTTTGCCTCTGCACGTAGGGTGAGTTCTTCCTTTGTTCAAGCGCCCGAACGACGAGTTTAGCGCTCGCACTTTTCAGCCTCGCAGGCCTTGTCGACAGAGTATACGCATGAGCTAATCGTACTCGACGGCAATCAAGAGCAAGCGAGATGAATTCAAACGAGTCTTTTTCTCTGCAAACGGGGCGTTGCCTTTTTACGGCTACGCGCGTGTTTTTCCGCTGGGTGTGACATTGGTTTCATGAATGATTCCATCTGCCATGATGGCGGCGCACTGAATAGCTTGTAGCAAAAGGGATTGTCGGAATAGAATCATGAGGGCTAAACAAGCACCACACATTCTTTCAAGATCGAAAAGTGGCTTTTGCTTGACAGCCTGGTGTGCATATCTTTTTGACGAAGTATGAACTGCGTCCGTTACGTGGAAGTTGGCTAATTTCAAGGGTGGACAGCGTACAGACGGAACCGTACTTGTCTAGAACGACCAGCCGGCCACTTCTGGTGCTGCTTTTTGCAGATGTCTGCAATAACCGGTATCTTGGTCATGCCCAACATAGCCATTTTGCATTCATACAGAATATATATATATACGGGCAATATTTAAACGGAAGCCACTAATGCATTGCTGTGGCACGGAATACGTTCCTTTGTCTGGGTTTACGCAGTACAAATACTGGGCTTTTACACAGCGAGGGATCTGTAGTGCTCTAAACACCTTGACACAGTGGTAGCGAACTGCCGCCATAAGTAGTTCCCTTTAAGACGCGTATTAAAATTATCGACACCAGCAATACGACTGCCGGCGTATAAGAGTCGTCCGCCCCGCATTGGAATATTTCATGAATATGTGGCACCCGTCCACTAAATCTGACGTAGAAAAACTAGAAATCTCGCTCCGCCATGGTGGTATAGTGGCTAAGAAACTCGACTGCTGACCCGCAGGTCGCGGGGTCGAATCCCGGCTGCCGCGGCTGCATTTCCGATGAAGGTGAAAATTATGTAGGCCCTTGTGTTCAGATTTGGGTGCACGTTAAAGAACCCCAGGTGGTTGAACTTTTCAGAGCATTTGCTATGGCGTCTCTCATAATCATATGGTGGTTTTGGGATGTTAAGCCCCACATATCTATTGTCTATAATAGAAACCTCAGAGAAAAAAAGAAAAAGCTGTCAGACTTGTTTGCATTGTATATGGTCGCATTTGATTCACAAAACTCATATCTTAAGTTTGCTTGCCTGCTATAACTCACCGAAACGGTGTATGTCTAAAAGTCTTTTTTGAACTCGTAAACAAATAAAATGTCAGCACAAGATCGGCGTATCACACCTTCTTGCATTTTCGTCTGGTTACGCTACCAGGTACAGATACAGTATACTTGTAATTCAATTCACGTGCCAATTGTTTTAGGTATCGTTTTTTATTCCTATAGAACGGTAGTGAATAGAAAAAAATTGTGCAATTAAACTGATACAAAATTCTCTATCGCATCGTGAATCACACCTTTTGTAGGACGCCTTTGTCTGATGCAGATGTATCCTACGTTTCATTTTCTTTCTTCTGTTCGTGGTTATCAATTGTCTGTTTGATTTCAATATTGTCGAAATGACATCGCGTGCCTTTTCTTTGTGAACTCTTCAGGGCACACGTGCGAACGAACTCATTGATAATTTTTTCCTTGTTTTTTCTGTTTTATGCACCTATCTGCATGTACAACGGTGCAAAGATACTGTACAAAATTGCTGTATCTATAAATAAAACATTTTTGCATAGTAATTTGTAGCGTCACAAATTGATAACGCCTTTGCCGATTCATGTGAAACTGCACCCTGACACATCACCTAGTTTTGTCACTCTGCTTATATTTTATTATTTAAACATTATTTGCGCATTGTTGCCGCAGTGTTTCCCTTAAAAGTGAACAGAAGCTTGTCCGCTACATCTGTTGCACAGACCCTTATCAGCCTTAATCTGAATATAAAATGGTTGTGTTTTTAAACACGGGATTAGCCTACGTATGAAACACTTTTTCAACGGTTATTGACTTGTTTATATCCCTCAGCAGTCGTAGTTCGAACATAAAACGGTTGCGTTTTTAAACCTGGAATTAGCTTATATAGGTATGAAGCTCTTCTTCAACGGTCATTGACAATTTCTTATCCCTATGGTGTCCTAAACCCCGGTGATGGATGCATAAAGAGCAACGCCCTATTTGTTATTAAGTCAGGCTACTGTATCGTCATGAGGGAAGCAACTGCTGCGCAGACAGGGTCACCGCACTTACTAGATACGCAACTTTACATCGATTATGGTGAATGGAGTATAGTTCGATATCGCAGAGGGCATGTAATCGATAAGCGACGAATGCGGCGCTTGTCAGTGAGGACAAAAAAAAACGTGATCAAGCCATCTTTTCTCGTAGTGGCATTCAAGAAGGGGATAACGTATGCACAGGGAAAGAGATAGTTCACGTTCTTAACGCCCACAGTTTGGCTAAAGGAAAAACAGATTGTGCAAGGCAAGTACCTTTCTACATGTTTGATATTTCTCCGATATTATACCAGTAACACCAAATCTCGACGCAACGCTGCTGCAACATTTGGAAAGTTGTTTCAACGATCTGGCAGCATTGCGTACGTGCTACTATATGAAAGAAGTGTCTTGCCAGTCTGGGGATATTCAAGCGCAGATTTCATAACTCCCAAATTTCCGCGACCGCGTGCTTTGGCACCAGCGGGCGTACTGATACGTGGCTCTCGAAGTTGTGGTTTACTACACGCGTATTTTAATGTACCAATTCCCATTAATTAATTCTCTTTCGAGCGTGAGATTGACGGTGGCCAGCTGTTTGTGATTTGACGATCTGATCTCTGGTCCAGGTCCTTTCTTGTTGCCATATTTTACTGCTGCCTGGATATGAACGCATAAGCGTTGTTTGTTGCCAGCGGTGATTGAAGCGCTGCTCTGCTAAACACGGGGCTGAAGGCTCAACTACCAGTACGGAGGGATGAAACAGTTTGGATAATAATTCGATGGGGTTTGCGTCCCAATGCCACGTTATGATATGAGGGACGCTGCAGTAGAGGGCTCCGGAAATTTTGACCATCTAGTGTTCTTTAGCGTGCACTGACATCGCACACTACACGGGTGTCTAGCATTTCACATCCATCGACGTGCGAACGCCGCGATTGGGATCGAACTCGTGACCTGCGGGTCAGCAGCCGAGCACCGTGATCACTACACTGCTGCGACGGCTGTGTTAGGAAACAATTAGAAGGGAGCATTCCGCAATGTAAAAGACACACATACAGACACATACATACACATACACACAGGCACATACATACAGACACATACATACAGACACATACATACAGACACATACATACACACACATACATATATGCACACACATACATATATGCACACACATACATATATGCACACACATACATACAGGCATATGGCCCCGGCGATACAGATATACAGAGATGTACAAAAAAAAAACTTACAGACACAGGCAGATACAGTCAGACAGGCAGATACAGACAGGCAGACGGACGGACAGACGGACAGTAAGTAATCCGTCAGATATGCACACGCCAAGCTTCATCTGCCACCATTTATCCGACGGATCAAAGGCCAGTGTATCAATGTTTTTGGGACGGCCGAATTTCATGGGCGAGAATTTCTATTCTGACAGGAGTCGGCCAATCTTACATTGATTTGCAACAAGTTCAAATTTGGGAACGCTTAGCTGTATCACGCATATGAGCAATGGTGATTTATCGATGACTTGCTAAAATACGACCCGCCTTCTTGAAGAAGGAAGTGAGCCTTGCGCAAGCGCGCATTTTCTCATCCGGGAAATGTGTAGTTGATCAGACTTCGCAGTCGATGCCCCGTAGTTTAGCGCTACTGCTTGCTCGCTACTTTCTACGCGCAGATGTAGTGCATAAATGTACCAGAAATAAAATGAGAAACGCTGGTGACAGTGTTTCTGTTGAAAATTCATTGCATGCACTGTGCCCGTAGAGAAAAGGGTGCTCACTAGAAAGTACGCACGAAGGTTTTCGAGCAAGGGAAGTTTACAATTTTTTTCATTGAGCACGGCTAGAGAAGTAGGAAAATTGAAACCACTGCAAGGATGTATACTAAACGAGTTTGCCAACAAGGTCAGAAAGGGAGGTTCCAGTCATGAACTCAAACTTGGCGTCTCAGTACGCACCCGGCAATGCGGTTTACGAGATACAATGCCAGCGCAAGAACACGCAACCTAGCGAGTAGACGAAGCAAAATCGAACCCGCCAGTGCATGTATGTATTGTTTCTTAAGTGGGCAAGGAGTCACGGGTGATTATAAAGGCACCTAAGACGCGTTCTTTGAAGACGTGCCTAAAGGGGAGACTTGATCATGTCCGTCTGTTCAGCGAACGTTTCACTTTCTTGGCATCCGTGGTGGTCGATGCCGTCAGTGCTGAGGCGGCACAGAAAAGCTCCAACGCGCACTCTGGTCGGTGTCGGGGGCGTATGACATAGCCAAGAGATTGCAGTTGCCACGTGGAGAGATGGTGATTCGCAGGGCAACTTTGCGTGAGTTTCTTGATCTATGAGCGCCGAAGTGATAGAAACTGGAACTACATGTCATCAACGTACACGCTAATGACGAAGATGGTGTCGAATACCCTTTTCCTTGCTCAGATTAGTTTCACATTAGAGTTAACCATGTTTACGAGACTTTCCGTAGTTTCTAACAGCGGTACGTCCAATCTGTCTGCTGCAGGAAAAGTGAGTGGCGATTTTCGTGGATGGTAGAACAAATAAATTCGGAAAATTAGAGGGCACTCGGGCTTCATCTCCAAAAGCAGATCGTGATTGCGTAATCTGGACTCACACTCATCGCTTTCTGAAAAGCCAGCTTGCTTCGGTCCTCGGTGCATGCTTCAACCATTACATTAGGAAAAAAAAAAACGAATTTGCACTTAATATTAGCTGTTTTAAAGCATAATTGGATGCCTATTGCAAGCACGGATGTTAAGCGCCAACTACGTCATAATTATTCCTTTTGCGAATAACCGAAAGGCCTACTGTTCGCGTCTGTGGGCAACACACGAACCCACACAGGTGTTTCGTTTGTTGATGCTTTTGTTGCTGCTGTTGATTAAACGCGTCTGCACACTCCGTTGTTGTGAGTGGGCCTTTAGAACACCCTCTTTATACTCAATTCGCATCTTTCTAAGCCTTGCTTGACTCTACGCTTCAGCCACGCAATACCTCATGCGTTACGTTTACATGACATTCATATCGTGTGTTTTTCCAAAGCAGATTAATACAATATTGCGGCTCTGTAGTAGGTGTAAAACACCTGTAGAACTAGTATACCTATATAGTGGAACACCTGATTGTCACGTAGATGGCTTGCGCTCGTTCCTCACTGGGGCTGGCTAATTTTTTAACAATATTATTTGCGTATTTCGCGATTATTCAGTCACGGACAAGGTGATGATTTTTGCTCGCAATCAACGACGCCAACACCGACGTAAGAATTTCTGCTTAAGTAGCTTTTTAACGTTGTCGCATTGAAACTGGTGCCAACTATAGGAGCAGTTCCAGTATTAAATTTGTTCCCAGAGTTACAGTGTCTCTAGAGTTTGTGAACATGGAAAAGGGCGAAGCATCGTTTGATTTTGTTTTTTTGACCTGGTGAATCGGTTGCCGCCATGAATGAGCGATTTGCCATCACGCATTTAGTTTCGGTTCATTCGTCGTTAATTTGAGAAAGCGCTGTGCGCCAAAACACTGCCTGTTGAGATTGAACCTGGTGATAATAGTTCCCGGCTGCGAGTCTGATAAGAACTTGTTTTACTTTGGTGTCATTTTTTTTCTGAGCCACTAAAGCTGAAGCTATGACTACTTTTAGTAGTCGTGGGGAGCAATGCGTTGCAATGTTTATTCGCTCACCTTCAGTTGCAGGAGAGGCTAAGACCATGGACAGCCGGAGTACAGCAGTTCCTGCGGGTGCGAATGCCGAACTGGTGAGAACTCTGGCTGACATCGAGAGGATCGGGAAGGTGAAGCTGAGCCCAGGACCCCGGCTCTACTACAGCATGGGCGCTGACGAAGAGATCACCCTGGCGGAAAACGTGCAAGCATTTAAGAGGTCTGTTTTGTTTTGTTCCCTTTGGAATGCAACTTGCTACGGAGAAATACGAAAACTGGGGGGGGGGGGGGGGGGGCTGTAGTCGATGTTTCGATAAGCAGACTTGCAATTTTCAAGGCTGCTTCTGATTTCCTTCAGGGGCCCCGAAACACTTTTTTAGGTAACCATGGTTGCTTAAATCAGTGAATTCATTCTATGCATAGAATGAATTCACTGTAAAAGCGTATTGCACCTCACAAATTCAATGCCGCCAAAAATTTTAAGAATCTGTTCAGTACGAGCGGGGCTACAAAGATTTGTCACACGCTTCAAACGCATTCTCTCTACTCTCCTTCTGACAAAAGTGCTGGAAGCTAAGCAGGGAGTGATGGGAGGGCCAACAAAAAACGTCACGCGCGCCTCCTGACCTTGAGCACTTTCTTTTCTTTTTTCCTTCGAATATGCGGCCCGTTCAATCGCGCGCGCGGATGGATGGATGGATGGATGGATGGATGGATGGATGGATGGATGGATGGATGGATGGATGGATGGATGGATGGATGGATGGATGGATGGATGGATGGATGGATGGATGGATGGATGGATGGATGGATGATGGATGGATGGATGGATGGATGGATGGATGGATGGATGGATGGATGGATGGATGGATGGATGGATGGATGGATGGATGGATGGATGGATGGATGGATGGATGGATGGATGGATGGATGGATGGATGGATGGATGGATGGATGGATGGATGGATGGATGGATGGATGGATGGATGGATGGATGGATGGATGGATGGATGGATGGATGGATGGATTGGATGGATGGATGGATGGATGGATGGATGGATGGATGGATGGATGGATGGATGGATGGATGGATGGATGGATGGATGGATGGATGGATGGATGGATGGGATGGATGGATGGATGGATGGATGGATGGATGGATGGATGGATGGATGGATGGATGGATGGATGGATGGATGGATGGATGGATGGATGGATGGATGGATGGCTGTACCCTTTAGATCGGGCGGTGGCTAGCGCCACCAAGCCGTAATACTTAATGAACCAAAAACTAGATTTTTTTTCTTTAAAAAGTGAGTTTGAGGATTCGTACTTTGCAGTGAAGGGTTTAGTTTTCCCTCGTGCCTTAACTTTACCCACCAATCAGATAAGCTCCTTCTAGTTAAGTCTACCCGCTTAAAGTCTATTTTGCCCTCCCGGTCCCTAAACCCCAGTGCTTTGAAAAACTCTGCGCCATCATCCTTAACTATTCGGTGAAGCCCTTTACAGAACATTATCAAGTGTTCGGCAGTTTCTTCTTCCTCTCCACACGCACTGCATACTGTGTCTACCCCTTCGTATTTGGCCCGATATGTCTTGGTTCGCAGTACTCAAGTCCTGGCCTCAAACAGTAGAGAACTACCCCGAGTATTATCATAGCTCGTTTCCTTGGCGATTTCCTGCTTAAAAGTTCGATAGATCTCTAGTGCGGACTTCTTAATCATGCCCATTCTCCACATGTCAGTCACTTTCTTCTTAACTTCTTCTTAACCTTCACTTTCTTCTTAACCGATAGTTCTTTTTGGTTTGCCACCTGCTGTTTTCTAAGTATTTACCAGTCAGTTTTCTGGTTCGCTTCCTCCATTTTGTATGGACATTCTTCATGTACGAGTAGCTGAAAACCTTCCTAGCCCAAGGCTCCTCCCCCATTTGGGGGGGCGCTGGCGTCGATCGACGGGAGCGGTCGCATACCACGTCGGCTCTGTGAAATATCGCAATTATTTGCGTCACATCAAGTCGTTCTCCTGCAAGCCTTCTACCACCGTCTCCAAGAACGTCAGCCGCAACCGAAGACATCACGTCTTGTCAAGGTGGGCCGTCTTCTGACTCTTTTTTGGTCACTTGAAGCTTTCGCCAAACCACCGCGGAGTTAAGCCTAACCGCAGTAAGGGCCGCGCTGGCCCTGCCCGGGGTTTCCCCGGTAATGGCGTCTCCAAATCAAGTCACCGGCTACGATCCGGAGTCCCTACAGATAATACAGATGGATACCGCTCAAACCGAGACACCTCTACCAACCGAGGAAGAGTACCTCAAGGATATGGTCCGCGTCTGGCGCGGAAGGAAGAACACAGCAGTGGCGTCGAGAGACGCCAGGGCTCCTGCAGCCAAACAACAAGCAGCGTCTCGCCCTCAGCAAGCACAGGGCAAGAACTCGCCGAGCGTCGCCTCGCAGCGCGCCAAGCAACTCCAGTGGCGGCCGAAGAACACGCCGCGCATCGAAGAAGACGACATCATAGTGGTGCGGAAACCGCGTGAGACGCTCGACGTCAAGGCCACGTTTGGTCCTGGACAAGCCGGCGCTGCAGTCCGCAGCATCCTCGGAGCCGACGCAAGTGTGGGACTTGCGGTGTGGCCCCTCTGGGATCAAAATGTACTTGTGTGCACGCTCAAATCAGTGGAGGCCGCCGAGAGACTCCTCCGGGACATTAAGCTGCCAGTCGGGGGCTGCCAGCTAACATTCCGGGGACATCCCAAACTCTCCGGTGAGTTCTGTCGGGGCGTCGTGCATGTCTCTCAAGACGAAACGTCCGAAACTGTGAAAAGCAAACTCAGTGCTGAGCCAAATATAGTGTCTGTGCGCAAGCATGGGGACACCCCGGTTGCGGTGATCACCTCCGCGGGGACCAAGGTGCCACGGACGGTGTTATGCAACTGAGAGCGGCTCCCTGTTCGTTTGTATAAGAAGACAGTGCCTGCATGCCCACTTTGTGGCACAGTGGGCCATCGAGCAGATACTTGCCCGCGCCCGCAGCCCGGCCGCTGCAGAAGCTGCGGCGTTCAGGTACCTGCTGCTACTCCTGACGGCCCCACGGAACACCAGTGCATTCCGAGCTGCCTCCTCTGCGGCGGTGGCCACAAGACTGGAGCTCCCGGTTGTGCTGAATGGTTCCGGCAGCCGGTCAAGTCGGGATTCCCACGCGGATCCAAGCCGAGGACAACGGGGGGAAGGGGGGGAACAAACAGGCTCCGACTCCCAAGACTGGCCCCAAGAAAACACCAGCCGCCAAGTCGAATAAGCTAGAATCCAAGAAGACAAACACCCGGCACTCCAATGTAAAGTCTGGGACCCCGTTGGAGCCTCCTGTCTTGGTCAAGGACTTCCCACCCTTGACACCCGTCCAAGCACAGGTCAGCTGTTGGGGTGGGGCAGTCTCTGGACCTTCCTCTTCTCCCTCCCCTACTGAAACCGCCCTACAGCAGCAGATAGGGGAGCTCAGGCGCCAGAACCAAATTCTTGCGCGCAAAATTCAAGAATTAGAAGCGAAGCAGGTTGGGTCATCCGAGCCAGTGCAGGAAGCCGAGGCAGAGGACGGGGATGACGGCTCTTCCGTCACATCCCGCCTCACTAGCGTCTCGCGGCAGGACGCGGACACGGTAGTTGGACCAGCTTCCATTACCGGATCCAATGGTCGCATTGAGTCCCTAGAGCATAAAACCGAGCAATTAGAGGCGAGCGTGGCAGCCCTCCCCACTCAAATCATGTCGGCAGTCCGCGAGTCCTTTCAGGACATGTTCACGGCAGCCTTAATGCAAGCACTTCCCGAAATTGTGGCGCAGGTCTCTAACTCAGTCCTTAAAGCCGTGCAGCCCTGGGTTATTGCCCAAATTAAAAACACCACTCAGGCCGACTGCCCGCAGGTTAAACGCAAGCCGGCCTCCCGTCAAGCAGCAGAAGAAGGCTTTTCGGGGCCGGCTCTAGGTCCGGACCGGTTCACTGCACCGTAAATAAATACTAAAAGATGGCTAGCCGATCTAATAAACAAGCTAAATATCTACAAAAATTTGAGATTATACAATGGAACTGCAGGGGTTTTAGAGCCTGGAAAAAACGGTCGCACCTCCAGCTCTACTTGCAGTCCCTCGGAAACATGCCTGCCTTGCTTGCTTTGCAGGAGCCCGGTTTGGACGTTAAATTATCTGGCTATAGCACTTTCCAGGGGGGGCCTTCGTCATGCATCCTGGTGAACAAGGCATATACCGCGATTCAGGTCGATTTAAACTTAAGTACTGAACAAGAATACACAATGGTCAGAGTACTCCCTCTGAGATGTCGCGACCAGTCAATACACATCCTAAATATATACAGCCCCCCGCATAAGCCCCGCGTAACTTTTAGCGAAATCTTCCTCCGGGCGATCAAGTTGGCAGACAACGACCCCTTAGTGATCGTGAGAGACTTCAATGCTCCCAGCCTTCACTGGGGCTATCACTACGAGAAGGCCAGAGGACGTAAGCTGGCGGAGCTTGTCTCCACCCTTCGCCTCACGCTGCTCACGGATCCAGCGTACCCCACTCGAGTGGGGAACTCGGTAACCCGTGACACGTGTCCGTACCTCTCTCTCGTAAAAAATGCTAAGGATGCTACCTGGGAGAACTTGGGCGATTCTCTAGGCAGTGATCACTGCCTTCTCCGGGTCACACTCCTGGAAAAGTCAGCTCATAAAAAATGCGGTCAAGCCAAGTTGACCGATTGGACCCAATTTCGCAATCAGACTATCCCTCCCGTACTATTTTCTGGGGGCTATGCAGATTCGGCTCAACACGTAAACAACATCCAGAAAAGACTTACTACTACCCTCCAAACCAACGAAGAAATTCCCGCAGTTGACACTCACCTCCTACACTTGTGGGAGGCGCGCCGAAGCTTAACAAAACGTTGGAAAAAGCAGAAGACTAATCGCAAATTACGTATCCGCATAGCCCAACTCATGGAACGGGCTGCAGCGTATGCTGCCCAACTCTCAGATTCAAATTGGATAGCCCGCTGCGACGCCGCAGCTCGTCAGATGAGCTCGAAGGGGACATGGCGTCTCTTTCGCAGTCTCATAGACCCCTCTCAAACGAGAGGGGAGGCGCAGAAGCAGCTCCGGCGAGCTCTGCAAGGGTACCAAGGCACTCTGGCACAGCTTGCGGATGCTCTGTGTGATAGGTATCTCTGTC